ATATATATGTCAGAAAGTATTGGATTCCATAGAATCTGCAGTGTTGAGGCTAGATCCGCCTCTATTCCCTAGTAGATAATTAAAAGAATTTGATTAACTCCTAGTTGTTAAAAGTAAATTGCTTTCACAGAATACAGATTTGTGTGGACGTATTATCTCCTTGTTTCCTTTTTTTTTTCTTTCTTTTTCTCGCTTGTAGAGAAAAAGTTGTGGAAATGTGGAGCAGTTTCACAATATTGCACACTGGCCTGATAAATACGGCACATAGTCGTTATTTTATTCTATTTTTATTTTTATTTGTGAAAATGCTACTTTCAGATGGACTCAAACCACAAATCCGTTAAATTTGTACTCCCCTCTCACTTACATATCACTGAGAAGTAGAAAGAGCGTTATTCAAAAATTTAATGGATTTCATTATTAGACATAAACAAATTATAATTGAGTTTGAAATGGTACAGAACACCTCAGGAAAGTACAAAAACTTGTGGAATAGTTTCTTTACACCAACTGAACATTATTGAATAGGAACAAAAACAATGCATTTATTCTTTTTGGGCTAATGACATTCACATTATCTCAACATGAATACAAGTAACGTTATACCTTGGGTACACATTAAGATGGACTAAATCCTTCTAAATGCAGATTAGATATAACATTCTCCCATTCTTACTACAAAAAGATGAAAAGTGAGAGCAACATAAAAGTATACTATGCCCATCTCTTCTTAACCCTAACTTTAAAACCATGTTTCATGTGGAGGATAACAGAGCAATTAAGGGAAAAATCATGATCTTTCACCATTTCAATGTGGTAATTATGGATGATAGCAGCGGTCACAACTTTCATTTGAGTGAACGACGTTTCTTTCCCTAAACATTTCCTTGGTCCTGCATTGAAAGACAAAAACTTGTAAGATGGCTCATGTTTTATCGTTCCACGATCTGATATCCATCTTTGTGGCATGAAATCTGAAGCATCCTTTCCCCAAATGAATTCCATCCTTCCCATTGCATACGCATTAAACATCACTCTCATCTTGGGATGAACATGGTGACCGCTTGGGAGAATATCAGGTTCTTGTGGAGTCTTGATCTGGAATGGAACAGGGGGATATAGCCTCAATGCTTCACATAATGCAGCATGTAAATAAACAACATTTTTCAATTCTTCTACCGTAAAAAGTCTCCATTTTTCGGCTTCTCCTACTGGGATGATTGCCCTGAGTTCTTCCCTTATATTCTTTTCAACCTCAGGATGTGTGAAAACCAACCAAATGAACCAAGTAAGACAGGAGTTAACTCCATCACGTCCAGCGACCAAGAAATTTAATATTGTATCCCTCAAGAATTTATTATCAAACTTTAACCCTGTTTTTGCTTTTCCATCATTGACTATACATAATGTTAGTAAGTCATAACCTTCTTCTTCATCGTCTTCCTTAGTCTTTGCTCCTTTGCTCAATTCGTCATGTTTCATCGATATATATTTACCTATAACTTGGTCAACAATTTCCACAGCTTTGCTTAATTTCTTTTCTGGCCCAACTCCAAGTCTTTTTTGCAGCTTCCAAATAATTTCTGGCAATAAATGGCGTATGACTATAACATGATCAATATTTTCCATGACTTTAAGAAAGGGAACATCTGGGAACTCAAGAGAGAGGCAGCCAGGATCAAAGCCTGTGACTAATTTACATATTGTATCAAAAGTAAATCTCTTGAAAACATCTTGCAAATCAAAAATTATGTCTTCTTTAGCCATGAATTCAAGAATCGGAATCAGGCCATCTTTGACCTTGTCATCAATAGTTTTCACCAAACACTTGTGGTATCTCTGATTAATGATCAATTCTCTAACATATTTCCTTTGGTTCTTCCACAAATCAAAGTCAGAATTAAAAATTCCATCACCTAAAAAATCAAAAATCTTCTTGAATTCTGGCCCTTTCGGAAAATTTGAAAAATTTGTACTCGTGATATAATTCACATTTGCTGGATCCACTGTGTAAAGAGTATCTGTGTTAGTAAACCAAAGGCCTTTCAACAAGAAAGTACCTCCAGCTCTTGGTAGAAGCTTTGCAGAATTTTCATGGATTTTTTGTATAAGGAGAAGAAGGCCTGGAAACATTCCAAGAAATGGATAATTCCTTGGTAGGCCATTATTTCCTAAACCGCAGAATACAAGAAAGAAAAAGATTGCTATAATGATTTCAAGGTATCCTATTGAGGCTAATAGAGAACTGAAAACCATTTCTTTCATAATGTGATGCTTCTTGTTATATGGTTAACACTCTATTCTATTTATAGCTAGGGTTCTAAGATTGGAATATTAGCATAGCCATGTGATCAGGTCATTTATTGAATTTAACTAATTTTTATTTATGGTACTATAAATAGTTCATGTTGTAGTACACAACCTACCTTGTTTTCAACATTGTAAAGTTTACCTTTTATAGAGAGTTACTTGTATATATTTGTTTAGATGATTTGATAATGTAAAAAATAAATAAAAGACTTAAATTAAAATTTAAAGAGTTATATGACACTCGTATGTGTATGTGCGCATATATATATATAAGATCG